AAGGAGCGCTTTGTAGACTATTACTTTGAGAGAATTTGGTGCCTGAAGAAGCCCTGAACGTCATAAAGTGCTTACCTGTTCTGGAGGAGCTGGATATTGAACCTACAGAAGAGGAGGTGAAAGAGGCCCTGGGCTCGCTTTCTTCTGGAAAAGCGCCCTGTCAGGACGGTTTTGAGCTGAAATCCTGAAGTGCATGCAGCAAAGACGATGCCTTTAGCAAGTTCTACGAAATCCTGTCTGCGCTGGCAAGAGGTTGAGGTACTATAAGACATGAGAGCGGCAAACATAGGGAGAGACTGCTTCAACTAACAAGGCATCACACTCCTTACCATCGCTGAAAAACTGTTTAAGTTGTCCTAAAGCGACTCCAAGCGCTTGCAGTGGGAGTTTATCCAGAGACACACTATGGTTTCCAGGACAAACGTACAACTATTGGTTTGATATTATCCACCAGACAATTACATGAAAAATGTGGGAAACAGCAACACCCACTGTACATCTCATTAATTGACCTCACTAAGGCTTTTGATCTATTAAGCAGAGTTGGGCTCTTCAAGATCCTCCCAAAAATTGACTGCCCAGCGAAAATCCGATCGGAATCATCAAATCTTTTCATAATGATCAACCACTGATACCTTTAATATAGTTCCCACCTTATTTGGAATCGTCTTCGTCATTCTGCTGAAACACGCCTTTGGACCTTCAACTGAAGGAATGTACCTCCGAACGAGATCTTATGGTAAATTCTTCAGCCTTGCCAGATTGAAAGCCAAGATTCGTGAGAAGCACTTACGCAACTTCCCTTGCGCCGATGATGCAGCAGTAACCACACACTCCGCGGATAAACTACAACAACACATGAATCCCTTTAGCTCTCCCTGTAAGTACTTCAGACTTACTATCAACCTGAGGAAAACACAAGTAACTGGACAAGATGTCAACAGTCCACCTAACATCAAAATATTTGACCAGCACCTTGAAGTTGTTCATAATTCTACATTCATTTTCTCTACTTGAAGAGAAAGTCTCCGCGATATTGGGTTGAACAAGAGAATAGAAAAAGTAGCAACCACGGTGTTTAGTCATTCAAAGAGAGCAACAAACTGACCCAACACACCATGGTCATGGTATATAAAGCTTGCGTGCTGAGTACCATCTCGTGTGGTGGCGATTCCTTGACTTTTCTTGTCAACGAGAAACGCAAATGTAACGAGGCTGAACTCAGTTTGGTTGGTTGTGAGTTGTCACCATTCATTGGGGTTTTTGTGACCAATATGAAGCTCAAAATTGGCGCGGATAAGATACATCTATACCGCATTACGTTTATTGGGTTAAATGTAAGATATCGGTCGTTGCTATGGTAACATGCAGGGGTTTCAAAAAGCACCGACGACCACCGAATCGTGTCAATTACTTTCCTCAGATAAGCCGGCCCTTTTTTTTTTTTTTTTTTTTTTTTTTTTTTTTTCCCAAAAGAAGAAACAACAAGTTTTAATTATTTCGTCAAAAAAAGAATAATAATAATATCATAAAATAGAAATATAACTGATAATATTGCATAAAGGCAGTCTACTTGTATTTTATGCTTTTATAGTTAAGAAAATGCGGTATTTTAGTCATACCCCGGAAGCTAGCGCCGTTTTGCTTAACCCAGTGACGATGGATTTTGATAGATTAGAGCACCTTATTTTTGCCTAGCTAGGTGGTTCGTGATTTCAATTTTATGGGTATGTTTTGAAAACCCGACAACAGTGAAAATAAATTAAACAAGAAAGCGAGGCTGAAAGTCGCAGCCATATAAATTCTAAGAAACACACTCCACGAGAAAAGCAACATGCTCATACATCTTCTTAGACTTCTCCCAGATACTTTTAGCGAAAGCTTTGCCGTTTGTTCGCTTGAACGTTTGAACGACTATTTCGGAAACCTGTGTAAATTTCTCAAGAGGTAAGTGTACCCGAGATAAACGAAAGGCAAGTTTGGGCAAAAAAAATTAAATAGCAAAAAGTTGTAAATTTCACGAAACGAAAATCTCCGCTTACATACCAGGAGTCCTAGTCCCCTTCCCCGCGGTCTGCAAAGCAAATAAGGGAATCCTTTAGTACAAACGGACACTAAAAAGGCATGTAGGTGAGAAATAAAAGAAACTCTGTACACTATGGAAAACAGGAGGCTGAACTGCTTTTTCTCAAAGATGTCAACATTCATGACTGAAACGTCCTTTTCAGTTTAAGGAATGATATTCAGAATCGTTACATCAAAGATTTTATACACAAAACAAAACAAAAAAGAATCGAGAATATTATATTTCCGTACGGAGATAAATTAAGTTTACATAAATTCTAGCCTCAACTTGAAAGGTTGAGCATGAAAGTGGTTCCTTCGTAAGCTAAGAGGCCTAAAACGTCGTTAAGAAAGACTTCTATCCAAAAATATGAAATAGCTCAAAATTGCCCTTTTTTTCCCCCTCACTTACTTCCCCTTTCCCACGGTGATTGCATTCTATCGTGTTAAAGGGACAGGTTCAGGTTCAGCGCATGCTCATAAATTAAATTGCTTTTTTCCAATTTATTATTAATTCTATCGGTTAATAATCCCACTCTCATGTATCTCAGCGATCTCAGAGTGTATTTCAAAGTAGAAGTGTATTTCAGAGTAACCTGAAGTGGGATGGAGGAGCACTAAAATCGCGGAAAAATTAGTGGATTATGCCAACACTACCAACGGTGAATTTATTGTTGACCCCAAGGTTTTATTCCATGGTTGATTAATTTACAGCTAATTGCATCCAAGTTGATCAAGTAACTGCCAGGGGAGTGTGCAGATTGGTTCTTTGACATTATTATGACATGATCATATTGCTTTCATAGACGATACAGGATGTTCCGGCAGAAAAACATCATTTTGATTAACAAGCATGCGCTGAACCGTGAACCTGTCCCTTCCAAAAAACTCCGCTGATCATTGGGACGGTATACGTAGATCGAATTAAGATTAATTATATTATATAAGCAGCTACAAACAGCCCTGGACAGGAGGTTGAAGCAGCTATCGCCATTCAGCGAGTCACAGCTGTCCCATACTTTCTGTAAATTGCACGTTTCGACATATTTTACGTCTGTTTCGATTATTTCGCGGTGATCGCTCAGATATCGATAAATCTTCATCAGCAACATGTCTTTTGTACAATGATGGAGTGAAAGAGGACTCGAGTCCCACGTTGCTAAGGAAATATCAGGAAGAGGAAGAAGAAGAAGCCGTGAAAAGCCTGGCAATGATTTTTTTCTACACTCTTTTACCCACGACACCCACGACCCACACCCAAGACCCACGACATTTAGTTACACTCTCAGTTTTGTCGTCCTATGTAAATAATACAACGGGAGTATCGCCGATAATCTGTGTGAAGTGCCAGCGGGAAGTTTTGAAATTTTCGAATTGGAAAAATTCCGGAAAAAATGTAACGAGGCCCTAAGAAATCAGTTGGCAGAGGACCACTTGACACGACAGAAGCGCTGCACTAAGGATTCCCCGGCCGAGTCGGGTCTAAACGACAGACTGAAAAAAAAAATCCGTTTTGCATGAGCCGCTTCAGCCTTCAAAAGAAGGCAAAAGTCACATTTACATTGCTTGTTTGCTTGCTTATATCGAGCGAACTCGAACTCCATTAACTGTAGCTTCATCCATTCCTTCCGGTTTCCCATGATGCTCTTCAGTTCAGCAATGCTCATACCAGTATCATTTTGTTGTTGCTGGTCTTCCTCTCTTTCTTGCGCAGTGCTTTGGTTCCCATAGTAGAAGATCACTTATCACCTCATCCTTTTTTCTCCATTTACATTGAAGCGATTGATAAACCAACATTCAAAGGACACGGCATCGTAACGAATTTTACATCATGGTTCCACCAAAGACGTGACAAAACTAGCGTTAAAGAATAAATGCTGAGTACAGCCACACATTGTACTCTGAGATCGTGTAAACCTCAACTGTACGGAGACATTAAAAGCAGATACCTTAGATAACAGCATCTATGGAAAATTACTTTTGCACGAATCTTATAAAAGGGACAATTTATTCAACAGGCGGGAATACGCGCGTAGTGAATAAATCGTCTATTGCATAAAATTTGCTGGTAAACTTTCACATTTTTCCTTATTGAACATAAACTGTACCGAGGCGTGTCGGTGACTGACGTCTCGACAATCTGTGCGGTAGTCATCTTCAGAGTCAAACTGAGTTGCACCACGTCAGTTAATGATATAATGTCAATGAGCCTGAAATCATTTCAGAGTAGAGTATAATATAATAATAGTATAATATAATAGTATAATATGCAATATCCTCTAGACCCGAGGTCGTAATACATTCTAAACTCGACCCCTATCATGAAAAATCCCAGATTCTATGACCACCTTTATCGCTTTTCCCTGAGCCTTGTCCTCTTAATTACTTCAATTTACTGACACTCATCGAAAGCAGAATAACACGTGCTCGACGTAAAGTATCAACTTAGTTTAAAAATTCGTGTCCAATTTTTTTTTTCAGAGACGTGGAAAAAGATCAATACCGGCCCAGTCTGCTTTGGAGCTCGAGATGACTCATATGGGGCTTTCAACATCAGAGAGAGTGGGGTCATTCATACCTTTAAACTCGTTCATCTGAGTGGGTCAATTAGCTGTAACCCCAATTTTTCTCCTTCCTATTGGGGATGTGTCAATCCCTGGTTTGAAGACCGGAGACTCATGACTGTCTTAACGTTCAAGGACAGTTCCGCTCTTTTGTTGGCAAATTACACGAAAAAAGGAGGTTGTGACTATTCATATAAGATCGAAGGTGTAGGTGTTAATGAGACCGAACTTCGATTTAACAATCTTCCCTCTCCAATATCTGTGTCTGTTGGAGATAAGTTTCAAATTTGGTACACACAAGACTTATATTACTGTTCAGAAGACAACAACAGCGGTCAGACTTGTGCTGATGTTTATGCGTGGTACGCGTGAATTAAAGGATAAACAATATGCACCAGGGAAACATATAAAATGCAAAAGCATTTCAATCTACTAGATTAAATTATGGCTGACTTTTATGTTCTGTAAGCCCTATTTCAAAAGTGTTGTCTGTTTATGGATGTAAGCTCACAGCAAGGGCTATTGAAATTAGAGAACCGTGCATTTTTGGCGGTTAATCAAGCAGAAAGAAAATCTTTAATAAGTAAATCCAATAAAGGCAGCTAAGAATTTGGAATGTATATACAGAGGAACCTCGACATAACGAGCCTCTACATAACGAAGTCCTCAGTATAACGAACGATTTTTTTTTTAATTGATGAAGTTTTGGATTTCATAAAGCTCTTGCTTATAGCTGTATACCGAACATAAATTATTAGAACAAGCAACATCGTTTCCAGTGTTCTCTCTCTTACCTTGAGAAAGAACTCTGGTTGCGGCTAGTCACGTGGCTCCCAAAATCTGGTTTTGCCTCAAGGGTGGGGTAGTACGTATAAAACTGTGTCTGATGTGAGAAAGACACAAAATACACTGGAGTGCTTGCAAACTAGTGAGGATTGATTTGAAGTATGTCAGTCATCAGAACAAGTTTATATCCACGGTTTCCTACATCACACACGGTGCTTTCGACCTGAATATGATTTTCGTTGTTGTTGACTCATGAACTCGCTCTTTTATGTGCATTTCCTAAACTAATATCAATTTTCTGAATACAGTTTACTGCCTGGAGTTTGACATGAGCTCATATTTGCTCCAAGAACAATCTTCTGTTTGAGCAAAACAAGAACAGTACATTTCTGCGCTTTCACAAACACGCGAACTCTAAAGTTCAAAAGCCTCCTTCACAATTGCGTTTTTCGCTGCCCGTCAATAATAGTTACGATTACAAGCAACGAACCTTGAAACACAGAAACCACAAAAGGGATCAAAATCCACCAAGCGCAGATCACACATCATGACCTTTTGAACCCGTTAAAGTAAATTTCTGTTTCCTAAGAGGTCCACCGAGATGACTGACTGCGGCGAAAAACGAAAACGTCAGTTGGCTTTTGATGAGGAGTTCATTGTCACAGGAAGTTACATGACCAACTGCAACCAGAATTCTTTCTCGAGGCAAGAGAAGGAGCCCAAGAGCGAGATTGTAGAATAATCAAATTTCTCAGACGTTCCCGTTATGTGCAACAAGTATTCGCAAAAGAAACGCGGCAGGTGTGAAATGAGAAATGGTTATAAAGCCTGTCAGATCTCATTGTTATATTTTTTTGTTAGCCTCTTCTCGCGGACATGACGGTGCACAACGTTCAATGACATTCCTGTCATTTTGCTTGTTTTTGTTTGTTTGTTGTTGTTGTTGTTTTTTTCACAAATAAAAACGTTGCCTTAATTTGTTCAATCGACTTTTGAACAGAAAACAAAGGATTGCGCACTGTCAAGGAGCTTCCAACTTAATCCAGATAAACTGCGGCACCGTTGATTTGATCTTTTGCCGGCTTTCATGACCATTTTCCTCTACTAAAGCTGCAAATATGATGGGACATGGATGGTTTATGCCCCATTTGCATCCTAATGTAAATATATCACGTATTCTTTCCAGAATGTATACTGTTACAAAGTGTAAGAACTTTTTACTTAAATAGTGTATCTTTTATGTCCAGTAGTTTAAGCTGTTTTCGTATTTAATTTGTCCTTTTTCATATGTTAGCTATGTTGTCAAGTTTCTTTAGACTTACAGTCATAAAAAAATATATATATAATCATATGTCATAGAATTTGTTCATAACACTTCTGCTCACAAACTAATGAGCCAGAGGGTATTGTAAATGTTTAGAACGCACAGTATGAATGCAGATTTCCAGGACCAGTTATAAGTTACAAGTTGTTTTGAAAACATAAATGCCATTTATGCCTTGACCGCTTTTGGTTGTGAGTTCGATCCGCAGTTTTCAATGTCACATTACCGATTTTTATTACACCAGGACTGGGTTGCTCGAAGCTGGGTCAAGGTAACCCAGGATTAATGCGAAATTTAATCTCGGACATGAGAGCTTAAAAAGCAAATTCAGTTTAATTCACTTTGGCTACAATTTGATGATTGGATACACTAAAAAGAATAGAGAAAATTATCCGAGAGAGTGCTTTTGATAAAAAGAAAAAGAAACCCGGGTTAAAATTTAACCCCGGGTTAGCGCTAACCGGCGTTCGAACAACTGGACCCTGGACTGCGGTTTTGATCCAGCTTTTGCGATTTCTTTAGGCACCCTATCCTGTTCAACTGTTTATTAATTATCACAAATGTTACAGAAAGCAATATCCACTGCCCGCAGTTAGCAGGTTAGCTAGTGGAGGCGAGCAGTGGTTACACGTATGTAATACATATACAGATAGATCACAAGAAAAATATATTGTGAATAATTAAACTCGCTTGAAAATACTTTACCTCTAAATAACTCCGAATTGATAAATCGGACAATTATCGAGCAAGGATGAGGCAGTAGTGAGAGCTCTCGCCTCCCACCACCGGGTTCAAATCCCGGCGTCGACGCCGTATGTAAGTTGAGTTTGTGTAGTTGCACGGTTTGTCCTTTGCTCCGAGAGGTTTTTCTCCCAGTTCTCCTGTTTCCCCCTCTCCGAAAAAACTAATTAACATTTCCAAATTCCAATTCCATCAGGAATGGTATAGACGAAGCACCAGTACGTTGAACTCGTTATCTATTTATCTCAAAATGTGTTACTACCTTCGCAAAGAAAAAAACTGAGAAAGAGTTTGTTTTTCTGTATTATGCTTTTGAACTTGGGTAAAAATGATGTGGTTCTTAATTTGGTTGCACCTGTCTTTTAACCTGTAATAAGTAGCCTGTACCGACGGTGAGACAGGCTTAACAGGATAACTTTAATTTCTTTTATTCATGAGCTCACGCATGATAATATAAGGGAAATTTTAGCGTTACATTATACTTTTATTGCCACTTTTCTTAGAAAAGTGCTAAGGCGTTTACTACAAAATTTCCACTGGAAAAAGGGGGTACTTATTGATAAGAAAGTGATGGCGCTTATAATTTTATTTTATAAGTCAGTAAACTAAAACTTTAATTTAGCACAATAAATACAAATAAAGAACTCCGTTAAAGGCACATGGAAATATACATAATTGCTAATATATAACGGAGAAGACTGAACTGTCATTCAGGTTAATAGCCCCCGTTCGATGTATTAAAATTCTAACATGACTCCAAGGTGTTAGGTTCAAAATTGCAGATTTTACACGACTCCGTTGTCTCACAATTCCCAGAAGAGACTTGAGCACAAAGAAAAGCAAACCAAATATAAAAAATGAGCAGAAAGCCTCGGATTCATGTTAGAATTTTAATATATCGAACGTGGGCTATTCTTCCGGTAAAGCAATCATGTCATGATAAAAAGTTATATATTGAGAAACAAGAGACTGAGGATAGATCACATAGTTGTGATATCCTAGGTACCGCTTATTTTCAACTACTTTGGCAACCAAATCATTGCCTAGTTTCAAACCGAGGTGGACTGGGTACAAGTCGGTTTATTATGGGATAAACAACACGAGACCAGGGCTCCTAAACGAGACCCACATAGTCAGGAAGAGCCCATTGACGCTAGGAAAATCTCAAGGGCTAATATTGAAGGGCGTCTATATCTAAACGAATTTATGAAAACCGCACCAGCGGGCTTCTAACCTGAGATAAGGCTCAATTTTCGTTTCGCTTTGTAATAAGTAGCCGTTAGAGAGAATGTATGAGAACCGCTAAAATTGGGCTTGATCTCAGGTTAGCGGGCTCCTGGAGGCCACACACCTTAAACTGACTCAACTTAAGTAAATATTGCCAAGAACCTCAGCTCTTACCCATGGTTCTCTTAAGGTGACTCTCTTCTTGGTTCCTGATTAGCAAAAGAAACATTCAAGTCCATCAAAAAGACACTCTGGACTTGGCCATACACTTTAGCTGCTTGAAGGCTCTAAATGACAGAGGATGCTTGAGACTTAACAAATTCTAAGCAGAGAATTGAAGGTTAAATCACCCCCCCCCCTGACTTCCTCCCTCCCCCAGCCTAGCACGTGCTTGAGGGGAATGCTTTCATTGGCCAATGGGCCTCAAACATTGAAAGAATTTGACATGACAAACTAAAGGCAGACATGACGAGTGCACTGACTCTCCCAGAGCAAGACTAACGGACAGTACCACGCTTTTGCAGCACCCTCCCCCGCTAGGGATTGACATGGAGGTCCCTTCCCAACCCATGGCGAGTAGGCTCAGGGACTGAGCTTGACAATGAGACCAACCAGAACAACAAGCCCCCTGTGTTTTTTCTCACCGCAGTGACCCGAAACCTGGCTATCGCCAGGTTCTTGTGCGAATATTCTGGTCCGTTTTGAGGCTAGATATATCTGTTAGTAAATTTTTGAGGTTTTGAATGGCTGTATCTTGTTCAATACAGGCCCCATAAAAATCTAACTTGAGAATGTTGCTAACCTCAGTTAGGTCTTTCTGACCATATGGGTCTCGTGTTGTTTATCCCATAAAAAAAACGAACTCTTACCCAGCCCCTCTGTCGGTTTGAAACTAGGTAATGCTGGCAATGCTGGAGCATTCGAGCGTGGTGGGTTCGCGACTTAGAGAGAATTCGGTGCGCAGATGCTAATCAAATAAGCATTAACAGCCATTCCAGAAGTAGTGTTTGCGAAAAGCTGGTAATAAGTTGTTTCCTTAATAAATTGTTACCAACAATATTGTATGAATATAACCTGCGTGGTGCGGGTTCCTCTGGATTCACTAACAAGAATTTGAACTCACGCATCGATGACTGAACACGATGCCGCGCCAAGGAGTTATTTTTCCAAGGGCAATTGTTGCCTAGAGTTGATAAAACTAAAGTTAAACCCTAAATTGTATCAAAACGGTGTTTCACGTGACTAAGCCCTAAGCCAGAGAGATTGGCGTGGACGTGACTTTATGCAAGTTAAG